TATGTCACCGCCCCAACCCATCGACTCAACCCAAAAGAAAAAGGAAAAAACATAAAAGCACTATAAAGGAGAGAGAGGAAAGAAGAATACCACTCTACTATTTCCACCATCCACATCAACCTTGTTTCCAATAACAACAAATGGAAAGTTCTCTGGATCTGATGGGCTGGCCTGCATGGAAAATTTCACATTTATTAGTGCGTTCCAGTTTCTTCAATTAGACAGTAGTCCATAAAAAGGTCATTCACATCCCAAACTTTACACCATTCAATCAGTCAATAACCAACCAAATTGGAAAATCCCATAGACATCACAACGATATACTAAAAATTAGATTTTTAGTAGATTTTGATAAAAGTTGATTAGTTTAAAAAATGAAGGCTAAACAGGGGCTAAATAAGTTGATTATTTCTCCATTATCACTATAAAATAAATCAGAAAATAAGAACTCAACAAACCTAATCAAAGCTGCATATTGGAATCTAATTGTCCTGTTTTGGCTTCTACGGTCAACCGTTATCCTCTGGCCTCTAAGCGTGGTGCGAAAGCGTTTAGAAATTCTTATAATAAGAATTGAAAAGAACTATATTGAAATAATCTTGCTCTGTATTGATTTATGACTGATTTTGATGAAAAGTATACAATGTCTCTACATTTATATGGAAGATTATTCCCTAATCCTATTAATACAAGGAAACTAAATTCTAACAGGAAATAAATTAGTCCTAATCTAAACAAGAAACAAGAATAAAAGATAAAACCTATTATAACTTGAAAAGGAAACTAGAAAAGATTAACATAACTAGAAAAGGTATATTACAATTATAGTAGGAAACTAATAATTGTGATTATGCGTTAAAAAGAATGATAGTCATTTGCATGGGCAAGGATATAAAGGGGGAAATCATTGAGGAAAAGGGTGCATACTCTTCCATTAAAGAAACACTAAAAAATACATAAACTAAACCTGCAACAGAATAAGGTTTATCAAGAAGGTGTGAATAAGTGCTTGTCTAGTAGGGATTTTTTTAATTGATTTTTTGACCGTTAGAGGTAAAGTGGGTCCTATCCGTGAGAGAAGAATTCAAAAATGCCGGCTGAAATAATAAAATAACGGTCAAAAAATTGATTTTAATTGAATTAAAATCTCCACCAAACATGCTCTAAGTATAATACACGAACTCTAAAAACCCTGAAGGAATATAATGATACCTGAATCAGGAATTCTTCCCTCCAGTTGTTTAGATTATCAAAAGATTTCATCACATTTACGTCATAAACAAGAACGCAGCAATCAGCACCACGGTAGAAAGCAACCCCAAGACTCTGAAATCTTTCCTGGCCAGCAGTGTCCCAGATCTAATACAACAATAGATCTCAATATTAGGGCACCATCAAGAAATTGTCTTGGGTCATGTAAAACATGAAAAGACGGACCAAGTGTGCATATAGACATACTTTCACGCAAAAATTAAAAGGTAATTGAAGAGACTTTTAACCAATTAACTGCAGCCCTGTCCTTAATTTGTTTAAGAGGCCAATTTTCATTTTCTTAAGCTGTTTATGGTAGCAGATATATATGTCAATATAAGTATTTATCATAAATCAAAAGTATTGCTTTCTCCTTTAACAAATGCTCAAAAATTTCACAATATGACATTAGAAACATCAGTGGTGTCATCACATCCCCAACCACAGTATTTTCTTTCATCTCTTTCCCTGATTAGCTAAGTTAAAAAATTAAAATTAAAAATCAGTCCATGCATATTGTTGAAAGAATCTACTCCCAAAAAATAAAGAGACTGCAGAAATTCGGGACTTGTAAATTGAAAGCAAAGATATGTATTGATTGTAGTCTTTATTGCTTAGAGACACACCTTGATTTCTGGTCTATAGAATATACAGGAAATTCTTTCATTTACTACTGTTGAAAGGGTTTTTAACAATCCTTTCCTGATTCTTCATTGCGTAATACTTGTACTAAATGCATGGGTGTCTTGTGATGTGCTTGAAGTTTGAATTAGTCATTTTTTGACACCACTATGCAATCAATAACTCTTGTATTAGATAAAATTGTGACTTGTGCACTTTATGGGGAACTGTGATCCCCTCATTTACCCAGTGAATTATAAAGTCAATATCTGTCCTCCAAAGTCAATAAAGCAACCATTTAAATGTGTGAGAAACTCTAGATCTTCACATTACAAATAATACAGGGCTTCATAAGAGACGGACAACATAAATTTTATGCTTCTTATACAAAGCTACAGCAGCTATAGATATTATAACTAAACACTGAACATTCTGAAATCGAAATTTACAGCCTTGGGAGGAAGAATTGGAAAAGTTGGACAATGGAGAGCATAATTTTGCAGTTTTGACACTAAGTTTAACCAACAAGTAAGCTCTGAAAACTGCGGAGAAATGACAAAGAAAATAATGGTGAACCATATTGTTCATTTATGTAGAAGTGTTTGCAGGAGTTTTCTTTAGTTGTGGGGAGAATCTCACTTCTTCGTTATTATTCCCTTTGTGCTTTATGTTTTTGTCTGTGTGAAAAGATGTCAGTGCATCCAAATTAAAAACTTGCTCCCTTTAAAAAGTGGATCCAAGTAGAAAGGCAAAATACTGAGGAATGTATTTTCAAAAACAAGAGCAATGTCACTGCAACTCGACAAGAAATCTATTATTTTGTTGGAGGTTTATGGTATGCATAAACTTCTTCCATTTTATAAAAAAATAAAATAATAAAATAATAATAATAATGCTACATCATTCAATTGGTACTCAATTAATAACATCATAACGAAACTTTTGAACTACCTTCAATGGGATTTTTGTAGCTTCAAGTACAAATAGAAACTTCAGAAAAATTTCAAAAAGAATATGTTAAAACTGAAACTCCTATACAAATCCAATATGTAACGGTTAGCAGACAGTCAACAATCACAAAATATTGTTTAGGGATATATTGCTACACCAAAACAAATGAGTATGACTCCAACCTGTAAAGTGAAGAGCCGATCTTCAAACTGCACCTCCTTTGTCAAAAAATCAGCTCCAATGGTAGCCTTGTATTGGTTACTGAACTTCTTATTTACATATCTTTAATCAATCATTAAAGGCAACAATAAAGCGAACAACTAAAACCAAATCCTAAAAGTAATTGCAAATTTGTTCTCAAGCAATTCCACACTACTAAATCATATTACCCTCATGCCTCGGGAGACAAAATATAACAGTGGACAAATTATCAAGGATACTGATTCATCAATGAGGTCTTTCCCACCCTGCAGGTCAAACACACCAGTCCAATTAATTTCCAAGCGCAGAGATGTACGCATACAGATAACAATCACAAAGTGGTAGAATCTAGATCGGTATGAATTGAGCGCGTGAAACAAACAAATATCGCCAAAGCATGCTTTAAAACCTAGTAAACTAATCGATGCTACCATAATTAACTATACACGACTTTATAGGCATAGGTGGAAATTATATGAGAGTGAAGACTAACCCGCTGTCGCCAAGGATGATGACCTTAAGGAGTGTTCTTCTACGGGAAGGCATCGTCGCCGGTTCGGGTCGGGCTCGCGAAGATCCGATCTACGAATTTTTATGTGTTGTTAGAGACGAGATCGAAATCCAATTCGGAGATTCAAACTCTTCTCTCTTTCTCAATTTTCTCTCTCTCCAGAGATTAGTTGGCTATGGACGTTTCTAGTGTTGTTATTGCAATTCACCTTAGCTGGCGTTTTGACGGATTTTTCTATCCCGTCTTTTCCTATGCATTCTGCGCTGTGGAATCCCTTTTTTTTTTTTTTTAAGGTTTTCCGTTGACCAACTATAGTCCACGGAGCTAAACATATCACTCTTCCTAAACTCCTGTTTGGTGGCCTTAAAATTTAAAAAATATAATTTTGAAAAGTATTTTTTTCAAAAATATATAGTTAAAAAGTAAGAAAAAGTTATGAGTTTAAATGTAAAATATTTTATTGTTTGAACGTGTGGTTGAAAAATGATTATGAAAAACAAATTAAAGTAGAGTAAAGGGAATAAAACAATAGATAAAGAGACAAGTGTTTGGCTAAGCTTAACCTTATTTAGCTTATGTTAAACCCCATTCTTTTTTAGTTTTGTTGAAAATGAGTTCTGTAATAGTGAATTTTTAAAGAATGTATAGTCATGAGTAGACAAGAAGGTTTTTAGGAATAAAATATTTTATTAAGAAAATGAGTTTTAAAAAATTAATTTTTAAATAATGTATTCTGTAGTCACTCGAGAAGAGAGGGTGGTTAGCCTACATGTTCAAAGTTATGATAATCTGTTGTAGATTCTTATTTTATGTGTTTCTATTCAAATGTGAATTTTAATAAGCAGGTATTTTGTTTTGTACCTTGCGGTCCCCAATCTGCATTCGAATTACATTATTGCTCCATGCAACTGTATACCTCAAAAAGGTTGCACAAAAGGCCTCTTTAATTCATGAGGCAGCAACAGTCCAAGACTGTATGTGTAACGAATGCTTCTATATAAGAAGATTATTTTCTAGCTTCATAGGTCACACCTATCATTACTAGAAAACTAATTAGAAACTTACAGAAATTTTTTTACTGTACCAATTAAAGAAGTTGAAGAAATAGATCGCCAGCAAACCTGGAAAGGTCAACTAAAGCATCAAATATAGTATAAATCAGTATTTCACCTCATTTCTTGCAACTTTTACTTCTGCTGCTTCTTGAAGAATTTCCTAATAAAATTATTTCAGGCAAATTTTCTCTAAAAGCTCTTCTAATAATACAAAGTACGTTTTGCAAAATTATTCAAACAACTTCAAAAGCAATTTTATAATTTCAAAAGTAACTTTTGATTTTTCAAAAGTCTGGTCATACTTCCGCCAAACTCAGTTTCAACCATGAAATATTGAAACTAGTAAGATGTAATACCCCGTCTGGTACAGTCGTACAGAACAAAATTCAAAAAACAGGACAGCCGACGGATGTGCATGAGGCATCTTGATCTGTATTAATTGACACGATAAAGAACGTGCCATTATTCAAAATAGAAAGAACAAAAGATATGCCAGCAAGAATGTTTAGAAACACTAGTTTATACATCAAATTTTTAACAAAGGGCCAAATATCTCGAAACTCCAGCAAATCAAAAAAGCAGTCACAAAGCAACCTGGTTCAACTACAGGGAATATCATTCACTCCCAATGGAACATTTTTATACATGTATAACCTCAGAATAAAAGGCACAACAAGAACCATATTGTTCTCTGTCATTCCAGGAGAATAAGAATGAGAGTGAATCCTGAACTCTGTTTTAGCACTCACAACCAGTAGGTCTTTGCGGACCGCTGCTTCCAACGTCAATTGTGTCAGGCAAGTATCTTCAAAACATCAAGAGTTCCCCAAAAGTGTTAATCAAGTTAGTGCAATTCTCATTATATATATTTACAAGTATAGAAATTTATGTTCAAACAACTAATAGCATTTCTTAAACCCTCGTACATCATTGAAATTTCCATTTAAAATATTGAGCAGCAGACTAAGTTGATTATTATGTGCTATGACTTCATAACAGCTACTATTTCAAGTTGCCAGTTATGGACTTACGATTGAGCAACTTAAAATTACGAAAGGGTAAACCAAAATTTAAGAATATAGATTCTACTAGGACATAAAACAGGAGCTTGATGCAACGTAATTCCATTATCAATGTCAATACCTTTTCTTAAGATGAGATTCTTCAAATATTCATGTTGACTGTGTAACCGCAAACAGCAAAGGGATAGAGAAAATTCAGATATTCCTTCTTAAAACAACCATGTGCAAACCATATTCCTTGAAAATGATATCTCACCAAAACCATGTGCCAACCATGTCATTGCTACATCTATCTAATGCTAGTATGAAATGCATCTATGACGTGACGAACGAAAACAACACGTTTCTGAAGTTTTTCCACCTCACACTACTATGAGCTGTACTTTTCCATAGAAAAATCATATATTATGGTCTCTTTGGAATGCATAATTATGAACCAATTTATGTCTCAAACACAATCTTGTTAACGAACATACAGACACCAATAAACACTTGGCCCTAGTATAGAACTCTTGTAAGTAACTCGGCATATAAAAAAGATTTAGTAACTCATTGTTAATTCATATGATCTAAAGCAAATATGTTATCCATGATTTTAGGGATAATAACTGCAAGAAAAACAAAGTGGTTACAAAGTTTGACTTTCAGAAGTGATTCAAACGCATTCTAACTTTACCTTGGTTTGGAAAGAAAATTCTGCTTAGTCTAATACTTCATAGAAATAAACTACTCTAAAGAAAAATTTCAAGTTGCTAGACTAGGTTCAAAGAAAACAAAACTGCATTTGTTCCAGCCAAAACCAGTTTCACCTCTTTTGGAAAACTACAATTCGTGTGTTTGTGTGAATTTAACTTTTCAGCATCCAAATATGGCTTTATGATTTTTTTGTACTCACATTTCTTCTTCTTCACCGCTCTTCAGGGCATTCTTCGCAATGACCTGGAAAGCTTCTTCAACATTGGTACCTTCCTTGGCAGACGTCTCGAAGTATGGGATATTCCCTTTCGAGGCACACCATGCCCGAGCCTTTTTCTCAGATACCTGCAATGAAGCAACTAAGCATTTTCATGTCATCCATTACCAAAAAGAATAGCTATTACAATTATAACAAATAAAAATATCCGGAGAGAAGCAAAAACTTTGAAGAGTTCCCCAACCCCCAATAAGTTAATTGTTCCTAAAAATCTTGTTATCAATTTTTTTTTAATCAAACATGGGTGCTAAAACAATCAAATGAAATCTATTTTTTGGCAACCGGATCAAGCCCAGTCATACTGGGCGTACCTCTCATTCTTCAACCGCTTTATTGAGATCTCATCTCTCTCATGACATAAAACTTATTTAGGCCTTCACAAGATATGCCCCAGCTATTTCAGTAGCCGTTCTCGTACCAAATCCATGTCTTGGTGGATATGTTTATTTTGTATTTTATCCATTCTAGTACATCTGAAGATAATCTTGTCCGTCATTTATTCTGTTTTAATCATGTGAACATTGTATCCTTTAACAATCCATCATTCCCTACCACAGTGTAACTCTTATAGTAACCAATCTGTAAAACTTGCCATTTGACTTGGTAGAAGTCTACTGATTACATAAAATCCCTCCAATAATTCTTCATATCACCCAACTCAATCTAATTTTGTGCATTGCCTTATTGGTAGACATTCCATGTGTTCAGTTATAGTTCTACTTGACCTAAATCCTTGAGATTACAAATTCTGCTTTGTAGTTACTTGCACTAATATGTCACCGCCCCAACCCATCGACTCAACCCAAAAGAAAAAGGAAAAAACATAAAAGCACTATAAAGGAGAGAGAGGAAAGAAGAATACCACTCTACTATTTCCACCATCCACATCAACCTTGTTTCCAATAACAACAAATGGAAAGTTCTCTGGATCTGATGGGCTGGCCTGCATGGAAAATTTCACATTTATTAGTGCGTTCCAGTTTCTTCAATTAGACAGTAGTCCATAAAAAGGTCATTCACATCCCAAACTTTACACCATTCAATCAGTCAATAACCAACCAAATTGGAAAATCCCATAGACATCACAACGATATACTAAAAATTAGATTTTTAGTAGATTTTGATAAAAGTTGATTAGTTTAAAAAATGAAGGCTAAACAGGGGCTAAATAAGTTGATTATTTCTCCATTATCACTATAAAATAAATCAGAAAATAAGAACTCAACAAACCTAATCAAAGCTGCATATTGGAATCTAATTGTCCTGTTTTGGCTTCTACGGTCAACCGTTATCCTCTGGCCTCTAAGCGTGGTGCGAAAGCGTTTAGAAATTCTTATAATAAGAATTGAAAAGAACTATATTGAAATAATCTTGCTCTGTATTGATTTATGACTGATTTTGATGAAAAGTATACAATGTCTCTACATTTATATGGAAGATTATTCCCTAATCCTATTAATACAAGGAAACTAAATTCTAACAGGAAATAAATTAGTCCTAATCTAAACAAGAAACAAGAATAAAAGATAAAACCTATTATAACTTGAAAAGGAAACTAGAAAAGATTAACATAACTAGAAAAGGTATATTACAATTATAGTAGGAAACTAATAATTGTGATTATGCGTTAAAAAGAATGATAGTCATTTGCATGGGCAAGGATATAAAGGGGGAAATCATTGAGGAAAAGGGTGCATACTCTTCCATTAAAGAAACACTAAAAAATACATAAACTAAACCTGCAACAGAATAAGGTTTATCAAGAAGGTGTGAATAAGTGCTTGTCTAGTAGGGATTTTTTTAATTGATTTTTTGACCGTTAGAGGTAAAGTGGGTCCTATCCGTGAGAGAAGAATTCAAAAATGCCGGCTGAAATAATAAAATAACGGTCAAAAAATTGATTTTAATTGAATTAAAATCTCCACCAAACATGCTCTAAGTATAATACACGAACTCTAAAAACCCTGAAGGAATATAATGATACCTGAATCAGGAATTCTTCCCTCCAGTTGTTTAGATTATCAAAAGATTTCATCACATTTACGTCATAAACAAGAACGCAGCAATCAGCACCACGGTAGAAAGCAACCCCAAGACTCTGAAATCTTTCCTGGCCAGCAGTGTCCCAGATCTAATACAACAATAGATCTCAATATTAGGGCACCATCAAGAAATTGTCTTGGGTCATGTAAAACATGAAAAGACGGACCAAGTGTGCATATAGACATACTTTCACGCAAAAATTAAAAGGTAATTGAAGAGACTTTTAACCAATTAACTGCAGCCCTGTCCTTAATTTGTTTAAGAGGCCAATTTTCATTTTCTTAAGCTGTTTATGGTAGCAGATATATATGTCAATATAAGTATTTATCATAAATCAAAAGTATTGCTTTCTCCTTTAACAAATGCTCAAAAATTTCACAATATGACATTAGAAACATCAGTGGTGTCATCACATCCCCAACCACAGTATTTTCTTTCATCTCTTTCCCTGATTAGCTAAGTTAAAAAATTAAAATTAAAAATCAGTCCATGCATATTGTTGAAAGAATCTACTCCCAAAAAATAAAGAGACTGCAGAAATTCGGGACTTGTAAATTGAAAGCAAAGATATGTATTGATTGTAGTCTTTATTGCTTAGAGACACACCTTGATTTCTGGTCTATAGAATATACAGGAAATTCTTTCATTTACTACTGTTGAAAGGGTTTTTAACAATCCTTTCCTGATTCTTCATTGCGTAATACTTGTACTACATGCATGGGTGTCTTGTGATGTGCTTGAAGTTTGAATTAGTCATTTTTTGACACCACTATGCAATCAATAACTCTTGTTTTAGATAAAATTGTGACTTGTGCACTTTATGGGGAACTGTGATCCCCTCATTTACCCAGTGAATTATAAAGTCAATATCTGTCCTCCAAAGTCAATAAAGCAACCATTTAAATGTGTGAGAAACTCTAGATCTTCACATTACAAATAATACAGGGCTTCATAAGAGACGGACAACATAAATTTTATGCTTCTTATACAAAGCTACAGCAGCTATAGATATTATAACTAAACACTGAACATTCTGAAATCGAAATTTACAGCCTTGGGAGGAAGAATTGGAAAAGTTGGACAATGGAGAGCATAATTTTGCAGTTTTGACACTAAGTTTAACCAACAAGTAAGCTCTGAAAACTGCGGAGAAATGACAAAGAAAATAATGGTGAACCATATTGTTCATTTATGTAGAAGTGTTTGCAGGAGTTTTCTTTAGTTGTGGGGAGAATCTCACTTCTTCGTTATTATTCCCTTTGTGCTTTATGTTTTTGTCTGTGTGAAAAGATGTCAGCGCATCCAAATTAAAAACTTGCTCCCTTTAAAAAGTGGATCCAAGTAGAAAGGCAAAATACTGAGGAATGTATTTTCAAAAACAAGAGCAATGTCACTGCAACTCGACAAGAAATCTATTATTTTGTTGGAGGTTTATGGTATGCATAAACTTCTTCCATTTTATAAAAAAATAAAATAATAAAATAATAATAATAATGCTACATCATTCAATTGGTACTCAATTAATAACATCATAACGAAACTTTTGAACTACCTTCAATGGGATTTTTGTAGCTTCAAGTACAAATAGAAACTTCAGAAAAATTTCAAAAAGAATATGTTAAAACTGAAACTCCTATACAAATCCAATATGTAACGGTTAGCAGACAGTCAACAATCACAAAATATTGTTTAGGGATATATTGCTACACCAAAACAAATGAGTATGACTCCAACCTGTAAAGTGAAGAGCCGATCTTCAAACTGCACCTCCTTTGTCAAAAAATCAGCTCCAATGGTAGCCTTGTATTGGTTACTGAACTTCTTATTTACATATCTTTAATCAATCATTAAAGGCAACAATAAAGCGAACAACTAAAACCAAATCCTAAAAGTAATTGCAAATTTGTTCTCAAGCAATTCCACACTACTAAATCATATTACCCTCATGCCTCGGGAGACAAAATATAACAGTGGACAAATTATCAAGGATACTGATTCATCAATGAGGTCTTTCCCACCCTGCAGGTCAAACACACCAGTCCAATTAATTTCCAAGCGCAGAGATGTACGCATACAGATAACAATCACAAAGTGGTAGAATCTAGATCGGTATGAATTGAGCGCGTGAAACAAACAAATATCGCCAAAGCATGCTTTAAAACCTAGTAAACTAATCGATGCTACCATAATTAACTATACACGACTTTATAGGCATAGGTGGAAATTATATGAGAGTGAAGACTAACCCGCTGTCGCCAAGGATGATGACCTTAAGGAGTGTTCTTCTACGGGAAGGCATCGTCGCCGGTTCGGGTCGGGCTCGCGAAGATCCGATCTACGAATTTTTATGTGTTGTTAGAGACGAGATCGAAATCCAATTCGGAGATTCAAACTCTTCTCTCTTTCTCAATTTTCTCTCTCTCCAGAGATTAGTTGGCTATGGACGTTTCTAGTGTTGTTATTGCAATTCACCTTAGCTGGCGTTTTGACGGATTTTTCTATCCCGTCTTTTCCTATGCATTCTGCGCTGTGGAATCCCTTTTTTTTTTTTTTTTTTTAAGGTTTTCCGTTGACCTAACTATAGTCCACGGAGCTAAACATATCACTCTTCCTAAACTCCTGTTTGGTGGCCTTAAAATTTAAAAAAATATAATTTTGAAAAGTATTTTTTTCAAAAATATATAGTTAAAAAGTAAGAAAAAGTTACGAGTTTAAATGTAAAATATTTTATTGTTTGAACGTGTGGTTGAAAAATGATTATGAAAAACAAATTAAAGTAGAGTAAAGGGAATAAAACAATAGATAAAGAGACAAGTGTTTGGCTAAGCTTAACCTTATTTAGCTTATGTTAAACCCCATTCTTTTTTAGTTTTGTTGAAAATGAGTTCTGTAATAGTGAATTTTTAAAGAATGTATAGTCATGAGTAGACAAGAAGGTTTTTAGGAATAAAATATTTTATTAAGAAAATGAGTTTTAAAAAATTAATTTTTAAATAATGGAATCAAACATGGGTTTAAATTTATTGATTAAAAATTTTATAAAATATTTTCTTAGTTAAAATAATGTATAAAGAAACGGCATATTTTGATAATAAAGTAACTTTTTTAAATAAAATTTAATAAACATTTTTAGAGGCAAAATTTATATAAAATTAAGACTATTTTATTAAGCACTTGTTTGAACTCTATTCTTTGGAAAAAAAGAATACATTTTTAAATAGTATTTTGACGTTATGTCAATCACATATTTTTTAATAAAATAATATTACACGTAAATTTAAATCATTTCCTTATTTTTTGACAACACATTTTTCATCAATACATTATTCAAAAATGCATTTTCCTTACAAAATAGAGCTCAAACAAGGGCTAAAGTTTAGTCATATATATTAGATAACCTAGGGATGACAAAAAATTTCGTCTTCTCATGTTCTCTTAGGGATGGGCCCAAAAATGGGTGGTGTTGGGTAATGAGATTAATTTCTTGATTTTGTTCACATATTCTTTGTTCAAAGAATTTATTTTGAAAGCTATAAAGGTATAAAAATGGAGGGAAATAACCAAATAAAAAATTACTTGGAAAACACAGAATTGGAGAAAATCATGAGTTTTTTAATATTTCAGTGCCAATACTTATCTAACGTGGGGTTTTATCCCTTAATAGAAAAATTTTCTTGTAGTAAAGTGATTTCATCAGTGAGGATGATAGGCGATTATTTTGCCGAACATCGGAAAATAAATTCGTGTGCTTTTCAGCTTCTGATGATGTTTTTTTGTTTTGTATTTTTTGGTGGTTTGATTGATTTTAGTTTGATGTAATTATCATATCAAGAAAAATGTAAAGGAAATTGAATGGTCATTTTTAACATTGCAAAGAAACACCTGATAGTGAATTATGTTTTTAAGATGATAGGAAAATCGACAAATAAAAAACTGATAAAATGCAATAAAAATTCAATATTGCATAAAATGACTCCCTAATTATGCAATTAGCACGGCTAATTGTTTGGAAATAAGTTCTTCAAGTACCAAAGTAAATGACTAAATTTTAATTAAAGTATCATGTTCCTAGTGACAGTTGGAACCATCAATAATAACAATCTTAGTCAAAAATCATTTAAAAATTGACTAAGGCATGGATTTTAGACATTATGTACTGAATAATATTATTTGCAGTCGTTCACTGCGCCATTTTTATTTATTAATGCATCAAATAACTACCTGACATGTGTATGCCACGTAGGGCGACTGTCGTAGTGAGCGACTACTAATAGCATTACTCGTTTGTACTATATAGGTTGATGCGCTTCCATTACGAGTTTCAAAATTAACAATCTTGTTCATTTTGATATACAAAATGAATTATATTATTTATCC